TAGACGTTTCAAGCTTAGTGTCCTTTTCTCGATGTCTTTACGTTTGATATTTATTTTAATATATCGATACCTTGTACGTTGGTGTACGTTGAGTTGTTTATACGTTACTGGCATAGTGTCCTTTTGGCAATGTCTTTACATTTGATATTTATTTTGACATATTTGTACTCACCTCCCCTTTCCATCGATATCTCACACATTGTTATACGTTTTGCCGTCTAGACGATCCAAGCCTGGTGCCGGTTTGACAATAACTTTTGCGTTTTATTTTTATCTTAACCTATCCATTGCCATCTCCCTTTTCCATCGATACGTTGCCAGTTGTTGTACGTTGAGCTGTTTGGACGTTACAAGCTTAGTGTCGTTTGGACAATGTCTTTGCGTTGTATTTTTATCTTACAATATTCGTTACCATTTACCTTATTCATCATTACCTTGCACGTTACAAGCCTAGTGCCGGTTTGGCAATGTCTTTGCGTTTTATTTTTATCTTAACATATTCGTTACTACCTCACCTTTTCATCGATAACTTACACATTGTTGTACGTTGAGCCATTTGGATGTTACAAGCTTAGTGTCCTTTTGGCACTGTCTTTTGCGTTTGTTTTTGTGTTGGTGTATTCGGTACTCTTTCCCCTTTTCAACAATACCTTGAACGTTGTTGTACGCTAAGTTGTTTAGATGTTACAAGCTTAGTGTCCTTTTGGTATTGTCTTCTGCGTTTGTTTTTGTGTTAACGTATTCGCTACTCCCTCCCCCTTTTTAACAATACCTTGCACATGGTTGTACGTTAAGCCGTTTAGATGTTACAATACTATGTCTTCATCCTGTTTTGCTAACAAATACACAATTTGAATATTAATATTTTTACATTGCTAATTTTGTATATCACCCGAATTGGCATAGTCACAACTCACCATTTGTATTCACTAATTTTGTATATAACCCGAATTGACATAGGTAGGATATAGTATACAACTCACAATACATTTGTATTCTATAATTTTTATAATATTACTCGAACTGCCGTGGATACGCATATACAGAATAATAGTGCTGACTAGTAATGTAAGTTCCGTGTATAGTAGTACTTAATCAGAGAATGTTTGTTGGTTTGGTCATACTGTAAGAATAATATATGTTCTTCGATGCATCATGTTTTATTTCTAGTAATACCACACACGTTGTTGCGCGTTATATCGTTTTCAGCATCACCGTTCGCTTTGTTTCACGAGAGAGAGAGAGAGAGAGAGAGAGAGAGAGAGAGAGAGAGATAGGCTGTGTGTCTTTTTACGATGTCAGGTGCTAGATGTGGTCGACAGATGGCGTGACGAGATGATGAACTCTAGTAGACGTGGAATCTCATTCAAACTATGTTGAATATGTGATATAGCACCGTTTTTGGCGATGATTCTCTGTTAGCCTCACTTTCCTCCAATGTCTATTATGCTAAACAAAGATCCGATATAGCGGCGTTTTGGTCATTGTCTTTTGTCTTAACATATTTCCCGTCGCCTCCCCTTTTCATTTAACGTATTACACGTAGTAATCTGACTGATAACAACATATATATATATAACTTTTTTTGTCTTAACATATTCATTACCCCCTCCCCTTTTCATCGATACCTCACACATTGAGCCGTTTGGACGTTACAAACGTAGCGCCGATGTCTTTGCGTTTTATTTTTATCCTAACATCACACATTGTTGTACGTTGTTGTACGTTGATGTACGTTGAACCGTTTGGACGTTGCAAGCTTAGTGTCCTTTAGGCATTGTCTTTTGCGTTTGCTTTTCATGCTACTATATTCATTACCACCTCCCCTTTCCATCGATACCTTACACGTTGAGCCGTTTGGACGTTGCAAGCTTAGTGTCCTTTTGGTATTGTCTTTTGCGTTTTGTTTTTATCTAAACATATTCGTTACCACCTCTCCTTTCCATCGATACCTCACACGTTGTTGTACGTTGAGCCGTTTGGACGTTGCAAGCTTAGTGTCCTTTTGGTATTGTCTTTTGCGTTTTGTTTTTATTTAAACATATTTGTCACCACCTCCCCTTCCCATCGATACCTCACACGTTGTTGTATGTTGAGCCGTTTGGATGTTGCAAGCTTAGTGTCCTTTTGGCATTGTCTTTTGCGTTTTGTTTTTATCTAAATATATTCGTTACCACCTCCCCTTTCCATCGATACCTCACACGTTGTTGTACGTTGAGCCGTTTGGACGTTACAAGCTTAGTGTCCTTTTGGCATTGTCTTTTGCGTTTGTTTATGTATTAACATATTCGTTACCCTCTCCCCGTTCCAACGAGCCCTTATACGTCACAATTGAACCAATAACAACGGAGATACGATCTAGCGCCATTTTGGTACTGTCTTAACATTTGATTTTTATCTTAACATGTTCCCCGTCCCCTCCCCTTTCCATCGATACCCAACACGTCACGATCCGACGAGCCGTTTTACCCCCACCAAAAAAAGAGACAAAAATGACCAGAATGAACCTTAGCGATTTCTTATGGGATTTAACATGGGAAAATACGCCGAACCGGTGTTGCCCTTTTACTCTGGTAACCCAGCGTAATACTCGCGGTATACCTTCGGAATTACATTCGAGTCACATAAGGACAGTAAGTCCCTTTTCTTTAAACTCGATATCTTTGGTCGTACCTGAAATTTTTTTCGAAGGTGTTGTTCTACGTCATTAGCTGCACTTTTTCCCCTTGTCCTATGGCGTACATTAATGAATTTCATCGTAGCTTCCAGATCATAAGAGTTGCTATAGCAAATTTGGTATGGAGAAGTAGCTTGCATAAAAATTTTTCGTATATCATTCCTTACAACACGATCACCATCAGTATTTTCTGTAAAGTTTTTACCAAACTGTGTTACTAGATCTTTTAGATTTAAAATAGCTGTGAAGTCTAATTCTAGTACTCTGTATGGAAGTCCAGTCTTTTTGGCACATTGAATTAGCGATATCCATTGTGATGGAATGAAAATGGAACCATTTTTTAATATCCTTGATTTTTCTCGTTCGATTGTACCGTTGATTGAATAGTCCAAATTGTACTATGGACGCTGTCCCCTTCATTTTGGGTATGTCCAACTACTAAATACTTGTGCGTAATTGATTTAACTTTTAAAATTTGAATAGCATAGTGATAAAGACTTAGTAAGTATTTATTTTTTTTCTGAGCTGAACAGTTATCCGTATAAAATATAACATGTTTTCCTACACAATTATCTTTTAAAAATAAATAAATACATGTACCGACTTCATCGCAACCTTTACCCCCTAACGACTCATTCCATAAGTAGCAGTTAGCAGCTTTTGACACAACATCATAGACGGTGCAGTTGTATACATTTAACCTTCTTTTATAGAAAAAAAGAGAAACATTTCCAGAGGGTGTTTGCAGGACAGCTTGCATGTCATAAGAGCATATTATTTTACTTTCATCATTTTTGCATGATGCTATGTCAGCTCTTTTTTCTTCTCGGCACAAATCTCTTTCCCTCAAATGCTGTTCATAGGCACACATCAACTGTAACTTATCACCACCTGTAGCATTTTGATAGGACAAACACAAAGAGCATTGGTCTTTCTTTGGCTTATGAAACGTAATGTTAAATTTATTTCGAAAAATGTGTTCGTAAGTTCCTTGTTTGACTTTAAATTTGTTATTTTGATGACACCATTCCTTATATTGGCGGTACATCAAATTCAAATCACCGTCTAGATATTCCTTACTTGAAGATGCTCGACAATAATGTGACTCTTTTCTAGGGTAAGAATTTATGTGTTCTCGGACAATATCTTTAACATCGTCTGATAGAGACCTACCAGTATTGCCGTGATGTCCTCTACGGTCCTCCGGTATTATCCCACTCGAATTAGATAACTTATTAACTGTAGATAAAAACGAATGTCCTATATCCAACGTTGCTGCGTAGAATCGTTTACATACTCGAATTTTCTCTGCATGTATTGTAAAATGATATGACACATTCAATGATCGAGTACTATTCGCATTGTGCAATGAATATTTCGGCTTAACCACTCCCATGCAAGTTTTAATGTAGTAGCGCTGTTTGGTGAGGTCACCGATATTCCAAAATTCTTCAAATAGTTTCAATCTACTCTCTTCATTTATCTTCTCTGGGCATTTTAGTCGACAGTTCGTACATGGTGGTTTTGGTTTCTTAGCTGGTACTGTACGTCCTTTTACGGTTTGGTAGGCTTTACCACTATTCTTTAATTGTGTTTTCACATTCTTAATCCACTTTTCTGGCTCTCTTTCTCTTTTAGTTTTATTCCGGGTAGTAGACACTTTTTCAGATTCAGAAACATTTCCATCTTGTAGTTCTACGTTAGCTAAGTTAATATCATTTTCTGTTTCTGTTACAGGCTGTGATTGAACCAATTCATTTCCTGAAAGTTAAAAAATATTCTTAATTTAGAAGCCCTGGAAAATGTTACCTAATAATTAGTAAAAAACGTGTTGGGGTTTTCGATTACCAAGAGTCGACGAGTATTCGATTCCTGAAAGTTCTTTTAACCGAAATATTTGAATACTAGCTGAGTAAGCGGTTGCAATTTTATTATGGTAATTTTGTAAACAAACATATTTTTAGAGGTCAAATAAATAAACTAACGTAATGAAAATTTCGGGTACAAGCAACTACAAAACGACAATTTCTACTATTCTGCAGTACAAGTGATACTAAATAATATTTATGTTTAATCGGATTCCCCTATTCACCAAAGAAAACGTGCTGATTCTCAAGACAATAAAAACGGCTAATTCAGGCTATCGCATTTTTGTAAAATTTCGTGAATGTTAAGTCATTAACGAATATAAACATTAAACAAATCAGAAATTGATGAATTTAAAACAGTTTTTATTTTAAATCAACAACCGATAGTCGAAAAAGTTTTCAATTCTTTGAAGTCCTCGAGTACAATAATTACATATTGAGATTCTTGAAAGTATTCAATTCCGCCCGTGACTCAAAAAACGAAATACAGATTCATTCTTACTTATTAGAGGTTCCACCTGGTCTGTAGCAATAGGAATTTTGAATGTCATAGTTAAAGACCGCAATTCTTCATAAACTATATTCTCATCCTCATGTAGCGCCAAATTATCTAAATTAATGTAATTTTTTCCATCTGATAATAATATTTTGTCTTCTTCGTCACCTACAACTAAATAATGTTTATAACGTAAAAATAAAAGAATGTAAGGCATAAAAAATGTAGAGAACATACAAAAAAGTTCTTACTTAATATAGGCGCCACTTGAGAAACAGTGAAAGAGATATCAGTATTATGTCGTCTCATACTGGAAGACGGGCTTCTTTCATAGGTCATGTCCACAACAGACTGACCCCCTAATCGAAAAGATAAAAATCGTTTATTATCATTTTAGTAACAATATACATACTTACATTTTAATGCAAAAAAATTTAAAATGTACCTACTTAAGTAATAGCAGTACCGAATAGTTACTTATTAACACATTGGACCATCTGCTTTAAAAATATTAACTTCGGGTACTGTTAAAATTAAAATAGGTATAATCATAGAATTATTTTCATAAAAAAAAACTTACCATGTCCATGATTGTCCTCTACATTTTCCGTTAATAAACTTGAAATAGCTAGTTGAAGACATAATTAAAAAAACTATGCAGTTAAACCATAGACTCTATATCGCGTTCAAAGCACAACTGATACAAAATTTCTTGTATTTAATACAAGAAAATAATTTTTCAACATTGGATTCTCAACGGCGTACTGGAACTTATCGAAATATTATACCGTTGTAAATAATATTCACGTAATGATCTTAAAGTCGTATCGGAACATTTCGAAATAAACTGTTAGTGGATGGGGATGTTACACGAAATAGAACAATATTATATCGGTTTTTGTCATTTTGACAGTTATTAAGGACGATTATATATTTTATTCCGTTAGTGATTCAGAAAGAGTCCGCAATTTTTAACCATTTTACGTACTTAGTTCAAAATAGCTAATTTTGGAAATGTTCCAGTAATGAATCCGACCGACGATATTCTCTAACCACAAATTCAGCTATTTATTACACGCCCTAATAAATTGGAATAAAAAATAAAAAAATATATTTACCATAAGCGTTACACCATTCCCTGCCAAAGAATCTGCCAATAATTTGGTTAATTTGGAATCTCTATAAGGAATATGACCTTTATTTCTTTTGGTGTCACTTAGTGATGAAATACAATATCCTAAAATAAAAAATATTTGTTTTAAATAATATTTTTAAAATTCTCTATAAAATAATAATTGTATATAAAACAATTTATCTTACAATTTAAAATGGTTTTAGATTGAAAAAATATAGGAGTGTTCTCTTCTATATTTTTTCTTGAATTTGATTGACCGCCATCAGATCTTTTCATTCTCAAACTGCTTTTTAGGAGGCATTCTAACTATTTTACCAGTGTATCTTTATTAATACTTATACTCGGTTCACAATTTGTTGATAGCTCACTATAAGTTTAATTCTAATTAGAGAACTAAAATACAGAGAGGATAGGTAATACGATATAATAGTAAAAACCAACCTGAAACTGACGATTTAAGATGTTTTCGACTAACTCACCTTGTATCTGCCGGAATACAATAGAGCGGTCAAGCTTATAATCCGATTAGGAACGTATTTTGGCCGACCAGTGTCGTAGAGTATATGATTGAAACATTTATTTGAACTAAATAAATATATTTTTTAAATTGTATTTTTGTTTTAATAAAACTTATAATAAAAAACAAAAATAATTTAATTCAAAAATAAAGTTTTTTGGCATTTGTAAAAGATACATTTATTTAATTAAGGGGAAAGGCACCAAATGTGTTTTAAATGTATCCATTATTTTCGAATTCGGAGAAAACTAATAAATATTTTTGAAAAATTTAAAAGCAGAATGAAAGATTACATTATTACTGAGGGTATTATATATGTGTATACTGATGTATATTACAGAAAGTCCCTGAAAACTTCTACAATGTTTATTTTATTATGTTATGCAACAGGGGTGAAAATAAAAGAGAGAATATAGTATAATTTTTAATTGAAAATATTGCATGCAAAAGAAACTTTTTATTTATTCTAATAAATATTTTATTCTGCCTTTAAATTTTTCCAAAAAGGCTTTTTAGTTTTCTCAGGATTTGAAAAAAAATCGATACATTTAAAACACATTGAACATTTTGACAGGCGTCGTTTTGCGCCTTCCCCCTTTAATACCTTACGATTACAACTACTATCACTTCTTCTTCTTCTTCTTCTAGTTCCATGACCGCTATCGATCGTTGGATATCATGTTGGCTACCATATTCGCTATCGTGACTTTATTGACAGCAGCTCTAAATAACGATGTAGTTGATTTTCCATACCATTGCCTTAGATTTTTCAGCCATGATGTTCTTCTTCTACCAGGACCACGATTACCTTGGATCTTTCCCTGAATGATCAGATGTAAAAGATCATATTTTTCAGGGTGTCTCATAATATGACCGAAGTATTCCAGCTTGCGTTTGTTTATTATATTGACCAGTTGTGTTGTTTGGTTCAGCCGTCTAAGGACCTCCTCATTTCTAACTCTGTCGACCCAGCTTATTTTCAGTAGTCGTCTGTATACCCACATCTCAAAGGATGTCAAGCGTTTAAGCATAGCCTCAGTTAGGGTCCACGCTGCTACTCCATACAGCAGGACAGGAAAGATGTAGCAAGATATCATACGAACTCTAAGGTCAATGCTAAGATCATGACTGCAAAGTACGTTTCTCATTTTTACAAAGGCAGCTCGGGCTTGTTCTATTCGGCTTTTAATTTCTGCGGTTGGATCCCAGCTCTCATTGATATTACTGCCGAGATACACGAGTTTCTCTACTCTGTCCAGTGTGGCATCTCCGACTTTTATACCGTCATCATGTATATAATTTTGTTTGCTAACTATCATATATTTAGTTTTCTTAACGTTGAGTTTTAATCCATACTGATCACAAGTCTGTTTTATTTTGTTCATTAGATTTTGAAGGTCTTCTCCGCAATTGGCAAGGACTAAGGTATCGTCGGCATATCTAATATTGTTGACGGTTAATCCATTCACAATAATACCTTCGGTTGTCTCCATTAAGGCTTCTTTAAATATTTCCTCCGAATATAAGTTAAAAAGTAAAGGCGACAATATACAGCCTTGTCTCACTCCTCTTTTTATATTTATTTCATCCGACAGTTCTTGTTCAACCTTTATTCTTGCCACTTGATGCCAGTATAGATTTCTAATTATTCGTAGATCTTTATCGTCCAATCCTATCACTTACCTTATATAATTACGATTAGAAAACTATTCAAATTCAAAATAAATAGGATCAACTTCGGAATCCGAGTCGTCTTGAGGGTTAATAATTAGCGGTTGTGTCTCTACGGTCGCATCAATTATGTTATCAAGATCCCACATTTTTTGTTGTTCTTCTATTACATGTCTTACTGCATCTTTCCAGTTTTGTTCTGTAATGTGTTGTAAAGACTCGTATAACAATTCACGTATAGCTTGTATTTTATATGACGTATTTTTTCTAGCCACATAACTTTTCATTTGTGCCCAAATGAGTTCAATTGGATTTATTTCGCAGTGGTAGCGTGGAAGTCTAAGGACTGTGATGTTTCTCCTTTTCGCCATTTTGTCAACTACGTATTTCTTGAACTTAGATTTGTGTTGCCGGGCAATTTTTAAAAGTTCTGCTTTTACCATTCCATCTTCGTAAGGCAGGTACTTATTCCGCAGCCAGTCAAGAATATCCTGTTTTTTCCACGCAGTCGTTGGAAGTCTTTCTACTAGTCGTGAATGATAAGGTGCATTATCTAATACTATAATTGAATTTGGTGGTATGTGTTCAATCATCTGCACAAAATACTCTTCGAAAACATCAGCTGTCATCTCCTCGTGATAGTCTTTTGTGCTTTTGGACTGAAATTCCAACAAACCATGCTTAACAAATCCTTTTTCACTGCCAATGTGAGAAATTATTAATCTACTACCTTTACCAGAAGGTGGGGAGATACCAGTAGACCAACCTTCCATAAAGGCTTGCCTGGAGCTTAATATATTTTTGTCTGACCAAACTTTTTTTAGAGTATGACCTGAGTTTACCCACGATTCATCCTGGTAAAAGATTGGCCTTCCTTCAGCCCGGAATTTTCGTATGGATCTTAGATCATTTCTTCTCCAACATATTATCTCCTCCCGGTCAATCAAAAGTGATTTTCGGTCTGATTTCTCCCACCGGAAATTTAATTCTTTTAAAACTTGCCACAAATTAGTTCGTCCGATATGAGGCAAATCCGGATCATCTCTAACTTCTTGTAAAATTTTATTTAGGTTTGGTATTTCTTTTTTGAAAAAAAATCCATGAATTTTCCTTCGAATACAATTTTTGGCAAATTCATCAAGTTCAATAGGCTTTTTCCCTCTCTTTAAGCGTTCGTTTGTGTTTGGGTTAGCTATACCGTGTTTTTTTCTTTCTGATAGGAACCTATATATAGTTGACTCCCCTACGCCAGTCATGTTGGCACAACTTTCGACTATGTTGCGAACAGTGTTTGTGGGATTCTGAGAAACCAGAGCATCGTGAATATTCAGGACAATAGTCTTCTCTCTTGGTGAATAGACAGACTTACTGACTGTACGCAACAGTACCGGTGTAAAACTTGATGATGTTGATGATGAAGCCATCACAAACAATCCAACAAAACGAGCACGAGCGAAAGGTACGTATATGTTCGTAGGTATATGGAATAAAAAATCACTCACGCACTGCATATAATTCGCAAAAGAAATATTCGAGACGCTAATTACTGCCGTAGAAGGGGAAACACCGACGAGCCGTAAATTACATGCGATCAAAAACGTACTAAACAAACAAATTGTTTTCGTTCGTTATAACTTCACCCTTTTAAGTTAAGTTTCGAATATAAACTAAACAGACGAGGTACGTGGCCAAATCCGGCATCTATACCCATTATATTATTAAAAATCTGGGGAATTCCATCCTAATTATCTTGCAACCGATAGTACCTTCGGATATAAATACCAGGTTTTCTAGTAAAGTGATTAAACGCGAAGATTAGTATTGAAATATCCAAAGAGATAAGGTATTCTTATTTACAAAATTGTTAATGGTTAAATTATTATTTTTATTAATATAATATAATAACCAACATTAGCCGTGAAAGTTTTAATTGTTTTTTACTAAATATATCAGTATTAAAACATTATTAATATTAATATTAATTTTAATAAATAAACACCTCAGGAACGCCTATGATGATACAAATGTTACGACCG